TGGGGCATCCTACAAAGCACCTATCAACTAAGGCTTTTGCTACTGCCCCCATACTATAAATATCCTGGTTTCCCCTAATTAATCGGAGCTGAATCACTAAGACCTGGAGCTGAGCTGAGCCACTGAATAAAGGAGCTGTACCTGACTGAGCTGAATTCTGTGTCTTACTGCCTATGATTCAGTCTCTCCGGAGGGGGCTGTCCCTTCGTAAACAACGACTCGTGAAGATTCTGCTTTCGCCATTCCCGCACCTCCCCACGTGATCCGGCGGCCGTCGGATCACGTACCTTGAGGGAGTGCCCGGTGGCTTGGAACGGAACCCGCCTGGAAGCGCAGCAACTAGTAGAGTCGCCAGCATCCAGTAGTCGCGGAGAGCCTCAGCAACTCAGTGTGCGACACACGTGCACCCCAGCAACGCGGTGCGTGGGACCTGCCCATAATGCTAAAACTTTTGCGAAATATAAAATTCACAAAACTATGGAGAATTTAGAAAACAGCAAAGTTATCACCTATTTTGACATAATTATGCTTTTTCAAATTAGTTCTTATTTTCACATAGTTATAATTATAGTTTACATGCTTTTCATAGTTATAGACTATTTCTAAGATTATTTGCATTTTGGAGGGCAGGGTCTCATGAACTCCTGGAACGTCTCTATGTAGCTGAGAATGATCATGAGGTTCTAATCCTCCTGCCTCTAGGTCCTGAGTGCTGGGATTCTAGGTGTGCACTATGCCTGGCTTATGAGGTGTTAGGGATCATAATCAGGATTTCATGAATGCAAGGCAAGCATGGAACTCATTCCTAGTCCGTTAAATTGCATTTTTGCTATTCAGTAATTTTTATTTATATTGTATTGTAAAAAGTTCAAAAATGTACGAAACTAGAAAAATAGTTCCATCATTTGGTTTCAAGAATTACCAACATGTGGCTAATCATATTTTATCTACACTTTACCCTTCCTTGCCCATATCTTGCTTGTCCCCTCCCCACTGATTTTGAAACCAACTTCAGATATCCAAATATTTCATGCTGAAATATCTTAGTATGTATCTCTGTAGTGTAAGAACTCTTTTTTTTTTGGTCTTTTTGAGACAGGTTCTCCCTGTAGCCCTAGCTGGCCTGGATTCCCTATGGAGACCAGGCTGGCCTTGAACTCACAGAGATCTGCCTGCCTCTGCCTCCAGAGTGCTGGGATTAAAGGTGTGTTCCACCATGCCTGGCCAAAACTCTTAAAAAACTGATTAAAAAGAATAAATTTGTAAAAATATTCATTCTAAAAACTGGGCATGATGTCACACATCTTTAATCCAAGCACTTGAGAGATGGATCTCTGTGAGTTCAAGGCCAGTCTGGTCTACATAGTGAGTTCCAGGCCAGCTGAGGTTGTAGGGGAGACCCTGCTTCAAAAGACACACACACACACACACACACACACAAAAAGATAAATATGCCATGCTTTCTCTTTTATGTGGAAGTAGATTAGGAGATTGGGAACAAAATCCAGGTCCTCTGAAAGAGAAGCCAGTGCTCTTAACTGCTGAGCTAGAATATTTCATTTTTTTTTTTTTTTTTAAAGATAGGGTTTCACTCTGTAGGCTTGACTAGTCTGCTATGCAGACCAGGCTGGCCTTGAATTTGCAACAAGTCTTCTACCTGTACCTTCTAAGTGCTGGGATACAAGAAGGTGTTACCATGCTTGACTTTTGGTTTCATTTTTGAGAGAAGGTCTCTCTATGCAGCAGCTCACTCTGGACTTGATCTCTTGATCCCTGTATCCCCCCTGCCTCCCTCCCTGCCAAAGTTATGTCTACATCCCATTTTTATTATTTATTTAAACCATTATATTTTTTCTTTAGTTTTTGAGTGATTCTCACTATACAGCCCCAGTTGGTCTAGTACTTGATATATAGCCTACACTGGCCTTGGACTCTGCTTCCATCTCCTAAATGCTGCGATTACAGGAATGTGCCATCTTGTCCAGCCAAAACCACTGTTTCTTTTGTTTTTCAAGGGAGGGTCTCATATAGCCAAGGCTAGCCTCAAACTTTTGAGTAGCTAAGGATGATCTTGAATTTCTGATCCTTCTAAACTACCTCCCAAAGTGCTGGAATTACAGGAATAAACCTGGATTTATGAGGTGTTAATGTAACTGTCCTGGCAGTTATTCTAAAGGGAAAGTCTAAAGAGATACTTATGCCCCTCCCTTTGGCTATCAGACTACTGAAACAATGGTTTCTCCTGCCCCAGGTAGAATTACCCCAGGAACTTCATGATGAAAAAAACACTCCACGCTTACAACCAGCCATTTTCCTAAGAGAGAGTAGGTTTTATTTGGTGTTACTGGGGGGTCTAACACAGGGCATAATAAATGCTAGGTAAGTGTTGTATCACTGAGCCAACATTCCTAGTCCAAGAGATGTTAGTTTCACAAATTATTAGACTGAAGGAATAGCTCAGTGGTACACCTTACCTAGTATACATAAGATCTTGAGTTTGATTTCCAGTGCTGGGAAGAATGAAAAAGAAAGGAAAAAAAGATCAGTTTAAAGGTGAGTCTTAAAAAGACCTAAATAAATAAATAAATAATAAAAACTTCACCCATATTTAGGTTCTGAAGATAAAGCCCATAATGTAGTATACAGAAGGATTTACAAAGAGAATAAATTCTCCTTTCTAGCCTCTTCCCCAGAGGTAACCAGCTATCAGCTTTTATATTTTCTTCCAGAGATCTATTTGGCACATGTATATAACAGTGCATACTACCTTGTTCTGCACCATTGTTCTTCCTTTGTTTACTTAAGCTTGCACTTTTATTTTTTGAGACAATCTCATTATGTAGTGCCAGCTGGCTTCAAACTCAAAGAGATCTGCCCATCTCTGTCTCTGGAATGCTGGGATTAAAGGTGTGTACCACCATGCCTGGCCTAGTTTTATATTCTTTGTTTTGATTTTGTTTTTTTTGAGACAGGGTCTCCCTGTAACCCCAGCTGGCCTGGAACTCCTATGTGGACCAGGCTGGCCTTGAACTCACAGAGATCAGACTGCCTCTGCCTCCCGAGCGCTGGGATTAAAGGCGTGCGCCACCACGCCCAGCCTAGTTTTATATTCTTACTGATCTTCTTCCCATATGTGGAAACACAGCATAATATAAAGACTAAGGCATCATTTTAATTTTTCTTTTTTTTTAAGCAGAGTTAGTGATTCAATCTAAGCTCTAGTATTCTAGGAAAGTACTCTACTGCTCAGGCAAAACCAGTTTGTATTTGGGTTTCCACTAATTATACTAAAGGTATCATTAGATAAAATGCTCAACTTTCTTTCTGAGTCCAATTCCATCTCTATATGAGGGAATAATAATATTTACCTCTAGGTTATCAGTAAAGTACTTATCATAGTACTACAGGGAGTACTTACTAAGCATAAACTAACATCAACCATCATTAGTATCACCATCAACCTGGAAATGAGGAGTCTACATATAACTGAGGGGCCAAGAATCATCTATTTCTCAGACAGATGGTAGCCACAAGAATAAGCAGGAAGTTATATCACAAGATTCCCACCAGTCACATAACTACTAAGCTCCTTGGTTTAGATGAGTGACAATTAGTAAGCACCCTGGCCACTCACTGTGGTCTGAGGCAGTGAGTGAAACATGAAAAAAGGGCCCCAAACACTGAAGAGTGAATCTAATCCTGTAAGTCCACATGGATGTATCCCATTCAAGCCTGGGGAAGAGGGACTGGGAATGCTCATGCTAGCAGTAACACAAGACAATGAGAACGAGGCTCACAGAAAGCTTTCTGTAATGTGTTTGGAGCCAAAGACTGTCAGGAATTAGGGTTCACCTGCTCTAGGGTTGAGTACAGAACCTATTTCTTACCATTCAGGTTCTGAGACATGAGTCCTACTTTCTTAGCATTTGTTAGTGCAAGCTAAAGTTGGCCTTGAACTTGCTATATAGCTGAGGATGACCTTGAAATTCTGGTGCTCCTGCTTCTACCTCTCAAGTGCTAGGGTTATAGGCATGTACCTATACATGTATGTGTGTGTTCCTGTGTGCACCATCAGGCCGTAGGAGTCCTTAAAAGTCAGAAGAAGGCATTGGAGTCACAGGTGGTAGTGGGTTCTGGGAACCAAATCCAGGTCCTCTGCAAGAGTAGCGTAGCAAATGCTCTTAACTACTGTGCCATCTCTCTAGCCCCATTTCATTTTAATTTTGTAATCTGTGTGTGTGTGTGTGTGTGTGTGTGTGTGTGTGCAGGTATCCATAGAGGCCAGAAAAGGGTATCAGATCTGGAGCTGGAGTTACAGGCAGTTGTAAACCACCTGACATGGGTTGTAGGAACTGAACTTGGGTCTTCTGGAAGAACAGCAAATGCTCTTCACTTCTGAGTCATTTCTCTAGCCAGTTTCTTTTGTTTTAAAAAGGTGACTCACATGTCCTTTCTGTCCAGATGCCTTCATATGAAGATAGGAAGTGTTCTAATGTAGGGACATTGGTGGTGCTTGTGATCTCACACCAACTTTAGGAAAGTCACTATGGTGACTGTAGAAAATCATCAAGGGCCAGCCTAGAGAGCCTGACAACAGATCCCTATAGTTTGGTGTAGCCACAGGAAGTCACTGGAGCCTCTGGAAACTGAGTGTGGCAAGGCCAGAAGTCCATATCCAAACTGTGGCACCATGGGCAAACACAGAATCCTGGAAGTCTCAGTACATTCTGGGACTGGTGGACATGAAAGCCAGACCCTGCAAGGTGCCTATGAAATTCCTATGGGCAGAAGATCAGAAAAATATGGTGGGTCTTGCAGTGAGGAGCCAGGAAAGCTAGTAGAGATTGAGGCTTAGAGATTCTGGTATTTCCTTTGGCAAAAGAGTGAGGCAAGTCAAACTAGTACAAATTGCTCATCTAAGCAATGTATACCAGTGTCACAGGCAGAGGCCTGGCCTGACCCCCCCCCCCCTTTTTTTTTGGCCTGGGATGTGGGTGCTAATAACATACCCTGTCTAATGTTCTGCCTGCTATACATGTACATACATATGGACTAATGTGGGGGTGAGATTCTAAGTCAGGAACTGGGTACAGAAAAAGGGCTTTGCTTCATAGGGAAACAAGCAAGGGGATTATCTCTAGCATTCCTTAGTTCAGCTATGTAAACTGCCACCTGCCAAGAGGAAATGCCATCTGTGAGGCAGATACAGCAGTTATCTGGCACAAAAGGCAAACAGACAGCCACAGTGAGGATTTTACCTTACTGGGGCTAGGAGCTTCTTTCTGCTTTGTATCAAGGAGTGAACATCCAGATTTGACTAAGGTCTTACTGATCTGGGCTATAAGCAGGCAGCCTGGTCTGCTCTGTTCCCAAGAGTAGAGAATCATCTTCATAGTCTGACCACCCCAGACTGAGCTAAAGGGTTTCAGCAGCCCAGGAAAAAATTAAGCTAATTTCTTTTATTTATATGTACTTCTAAAAGCAGGCCCTGGGAGTTAAAACATCTGCACTTTGTTTTCAAGTAGGCTATAATGAACCTTGCTTGCTGTTTAGGCACAAAGATTGTTTCCTACCCCCTGGATTTCTGTAAAACACATCATCCTGGGGCTAGAGTATAGTCCTTTTTATCACTGTAAAATAATCCTCTGTTGTCAAAAGCAGTAGATCAGGGAGTCTGGATCATGAACAGGAGCAAAAGGAGGCAATATGCTCCCTCAGGACATCAAGTATTTGTCTGCTGGTGGCAGATCCTATTTCTGAGACAACCATCAAACCTAATGAGAAAGAAAATATTTGTTTTATCTCCTGCCTAGGCCAGTCGAGTCTTGTGGGCCCAGATACAAATGGAAGATATTTACCAAGCATTGAAACTCCATGAGCTCCTTGGCATTCAAAAATAGTGTTTATGGCGTCAAGGTCATCAGTGCACATCCCAAAGTGCAAACTTTGACACACATCACCTTTGACAAATGAAGTGGAAGGCACTGATAATGAAATATATCTACCAAGTGCCCAAGAGAACTCAGCCTGTCTCAGCCTACAAGGATTCATACCAGCCGGGTGTGGTGGTGCACGCCTTTAATCCCAGCACTCGGGAGGCAGAGGCAGGCGGATCTCTGTGAGTTCAAGGCCAGCTACATAGTGAGTTCCAGGTCAGCTGGGGCTACAGGGAGACCCTGTCTCAAAAAGATTAAAAAAAAAAAAAGATTCATACTAAAAGGGGCCTTCTTTTTGTATAGAACCATGGCTGCGACAGATTCATAGATTAGAAAGAACCCTTCTTCAAGGCTGTCTGTCAGGGAGCCTGGACATCTATGCTTGTCCTTCATGGAGAAAAATGCTGCTGAAATCTGGTGTGGTGGCGCATGCCTTTAGTTCCAGTACTCAGGAGGCAGAGACAGGTGGATCTCTGAGTTCAAGGCCAGCCTGGTCTACATAGTGAGTTCCAGGCCAGCTGGGGCTGCAGGGAGACCCTGTCTCAAAAAAAAAAAAAAAAAAAAAAAAAATCCGTCCTTCAAGGTGTCTGCAACATTTAGCTGACTTTTTTTCCTTCCTTAGAGTCTGAAGTGCTGTTCTTTCCTATTTTTCAGTATTTCAGTTTCTAAGACTTCCCAATTCCCTTTATATTTTTGGCCATCTGACCATTTCAACTCTACATCCGAATAGTAGATGACGACTACAATCGGTGCCTTTGCCTTTGATCACGGCTTCCAAACATGTAACTAAGGACCAGAAGCCCTTCTAGATTATCTCCTGTTTCAATATTTTCTTGGGTTTTCTTTTCAAGAACAGCTATCACCAACTTTCCTAATCCTTGGAAGTAGAAATCTTGGAGTCAGCCTGGATATCCTTTTCTAGCTTGTGTGCTCCAGCTAGCTAGTCTGTTACCAGATCCTACTAACCCAACTGCCACACAATCTGGAATATACATCACGGATAGACCCCCCCCCCCCAAACCTCCATTTCATTCTGCTGCTGGGCCTTGCAGCACTCTGCACCTGAAAAGTAAAAGGGGCCTAGAAGGAGGGCATAGTAATCTGTAATCTTACCAGTTGGGAGATGGAAGCAGGAGGATCTGGAGTTCAAGGCTAGTGTGGGCTACATAGTGATTTTGAAGCAATAATTGGACTCAGTATGTTTTTCTTTAATATTTTATTTATTATTGTTATTTTATGTTTATGAGTGTATTGGCTGCATATGCATGAGTGTACCCGTGTTGTGCAATGCTGTGGAGGTCAGAAGAGGGCTTTGGATTCCCCTGGAACTGGAGTTAAAGATGGTTCATAGCCACCGTGTGGGTGCTGGGAATTGAACCTGGGTCCTCTGCAAGAGCAGTCAATACTCTTAACAGCTGAGCCATCTCTCCAGCCCCAAGACCTTGTCTTAAAAAAACAAAAGGTGCAGGGGGTTGGGGGGCTTGAAAATGCTACTATCTGACACAGCAGTCCAACACACACATTCCTCTTTTCCAGTCTCCTATCCAGGACAGTATTCAGCTCAGCTATTTTTCAAGATGTGAACTCTGGTATACTGTTTACTGTTCCCTGTGGATTGGCAATGGGATCAGCAGGGCACAAGTATGCTGGGGACATTAACTTGTTTTCTTCTATCAGATATTTGCTTGCTGGGCTGACTCAGGAAGCTCAGCCCCCCAGGCATATCCCGACAACAATGAGCATTTCAATACCACTGCAGGGAATGTACAATTTATTCTAGTTCTTCAGGAGCCCTACCTACTCATCCACTGTTAATCAGCTACAAGGTAGACTTGAACTCAGGAGTGGTGCTAGTGCAGTTGGGCTTAGTGCCCTTAAAAGACAAGCTCTTAGAGAAATATATCAATCAAGTAGGATAAAAGGAAGTTATCAACGTTCTCACTGGACCAATTCTGTTAGCAATTCAGAATGGTAGAAGCATGGAAAAAAAAAATCCATTGTATCTGAACAGAATGTGACGGGCATGTAAACAGGAAGTAAAGCATATTGCTTACCTTGTGAACACTGGTCAAGACATTTAGGAAAGAGAAACCTAAGGAGAAAAAAAAAAGTATTTCAAAACCATTTATTTCAGAGTTGTCATTGATTATTTCTCACAAAAATGTTAATCTCATTTATATGCAAGTTATTTAAAAAATTTTTTAAAAACATTTTTTAATTTTATGTGTATGAGTGTATTGCCTTCATGTATGTGGGTGCACCCATGTTGTGCAATGCTGCGGATGTCAGAAGAGGGCGTCTAGTTCCAGGGCGTCCCCTGGAACTAGAGTTAAGGATGGTTCATACCCACCATGTAGGTGCTGGGAATCAAACCTGGGTCCTCTGTAAGAGCAGTCAGTGCTCTTAACTGCTGGGCCATCTCTCCAGCCCCGTTATATGCAAGTTTTAAGGATTCAGGACAGTCACGGCTTTTTAAAATTTTTATATTTTAATCATTAAATTTTTTATTTTGTTAAGAATTTCATACATGAGTACTGTATTCACATAATTTCCACCCCCTCTCTCCCTACTCCAACCCTTCCCATATCCCTAACTCCCTCTCAATTTTGTGACCTCTTAATTATTATTGTTACACAGACACACACACACACACCCTACTGAGTCTATTTAGTATTGCTCATCTGTACATGTGTTTAAGGATGACCACTTTTTTCTCTTTTTTTTGGTCTTTTTGAGACAGGGTCTCTCTGTAGCCCCAGCTGTCCTGGAACTCACTGTAGATCAGGCTGGCCTTGAACTCACAGAGATCCGCCTGCCTCTGCCTCCTGAGTGCTGAGACTAAAGGCGTACGCCACCACGCCCGGCTTTGGCATGACCACTTTTGACTGGATAACTTATCAGGGAGCTCATCCCTGGAGAAAACAGATTCTCTCTCTCTCAGCAGTCACTGATTGTCAGTAGTTCTTTATCCAGAGGTGGGACCTTGTGAAATTTCCCCCATCCATGTTGGCATGTCAACTGATGTTGTCATTATTCATGTCTTATTTAGGTAACAATATTGTTGAGACTTCCTGGGTGCAGCTTCCCTGTCACATCTAGAAGACACTATCAGCAGGCATCCTGGTCCTCTGGCTCTTTCCACTGCCTCTTCCATGATGTTCCCTGAGCTTAGGTGTATGGGTTGCAGTGTGGATGTATCAATTGCTGATACCCATGGTCACCTATTCTTTGTATTTTGACATTCACAGTTTTGCACCAAAGTTCATACCCCATAGAAATTCTTATATGGAATGTTGCAGAGGATAATGGGAACAACAATAGCTCTGTAGAATACAGCTAAGAAAGCTGGTCCTTTCTTCCCACCACCACATTTTTTCTTTTCTGGGTTAGGGCCTCACACTTGCTAGGCAAGCATTCTACCACTGAGTTCCATGTAAGCCAGAGATAAATAGTGAGACCCTATCTCAAAAAACCAAAAAAAACCCACCTTTAATCCTAGTACTTGGGAGGCAGAGGTATATGGGTCTCTATGAGGCCAGCCTGGTCTACATAGCTGAGATCCAGGCTAGCTGGAGCTACTACACTGGAGACCCTATCTCAAAACAGTAACAATGACAAATCTAATGGAGAACAAAAGCAGAAAGTAGATCACAAATGGTAATGATCCAAAGTGTAGGTTAGTGTCAGGTATGGTGGTACAGTGGTTATCATTACAAGTACTTGGAAGGCTGAGGCAGGAGAATCAAGAGATCAAAGTCATCCTTGGGCATCAAGTTCAAGGCCAGCATGGGATAGGGTGAGGCCCTATTTCACACACACACACACACACACACACACACACACACACACAAAAGAATACAAAAGAACAACTCCACTCCCCCAACCATAAAACAAAACCAAACAAAAAAGTGAAGCTGGTATCTATCACTACAGTAAGCTAAATAACTCACATTCACAGTGCTTTAAAACTTCCAAAATACAAACCTGGAGTGGTGGTACATATTTGATTTAATCCCAGTACTTGGGAGGCAAGAAAGGTGGGTCTCTGAGTTCAAGGCCAGCTTGGTCTATATAGAATGTTCCAGACCAGCCAGATGAGACCTTGCTTCAAAATAAATAAAAAATAATGAAAAAAGGGGAGGGACTGGAGAAATGGCTCAGTGGTTAAGAGTACTGGCCCCACTTATAGAAGACCTGGGTTCGATTCCCAACACCCACATGGTAGCTAACAACTATCCACAATTCCAGTTCCAGGGGAATTTGAAGCCCTCTTCTGACCTCCACAGGTGTTGCATGACATGGGTACACTTACATACATTCAGGCAATCCACTCATACGCATAAAATAAAAATTAAAAAACCCTCAAAATAATGTTCCTCTCAGGGACGAAAGCTAACATTAATGAGAACAGCTGCCTTTACCAAGTGTCTATGATGGCTGGGCACCATACACTACACAAGCAGGTCATAGACATGATCTTGCTCTGCTATCCATCAGCACATGAGAACAGCAGATCTAGGATGGTTAAGCATCTTGTCCAAGGTCTCCCAGGTAGCTAGGAAGTAGTAGGACTGAGGCAGAAATAAAGGTCTGTCTGGATCCACAGAACTCCAGGGTTTCTGCACCAGAAAGTGATATGCTTAGGGATGTCATGCTTTATTGTTTTATTTATTTATTTATTTATTATTAATTAATTAATTATTATTAATTTATTTTTGTCTTTTTGAGACAGGGTCTCCCTGTAGCTTCAGCTGGTCTGGAACTCGCTATATAGATCAGGTTGGCCTTGAACTTACAGAGATCTATTTGCCTCTGCCTCCTGGGTACTGGGATTAAAGGTGTGTTCCACCACGCCTGGCTCTTACTATTTTTATTTTATGTGTTTGAGTATTTTGCATGCATGTAAGTACACCTGTGTCATGCAATGTCCAAGGAGGCCAGAAGAGGGCACTGGCACCCTGGCATTGGAGTTATATGGGCAGTTGTTAGCCTCCAGGTTTCTTGGCCTTGCTGGTAGCACAAAGGGTTGATCAATTCTAGAAGTCTTCAGAAACCATCAGAGAGTCTTGAAAGAGAACTGGATTTCCTGTCCAAAGTAGGATTCATTCAGTTTAACTCCTCTACCAAATTGGTTCATATGGTGTTATGCCTAGCTATTGTATGAACTCATATAAAGCAATGAAGGGGCTGGAGAAATGGCTCAGCAGTTAAGAGCACTGGCTGCTCTTGCAGAGGACTTGGGTTCCGTTCCCAGAACCAACATGAACACCAACAACCATCTGCAACTCCAGTTCCAGGGGATCTAGCACCCTCTTCTGGTCTCCACAAGCAATGCATGTATGTGGTGCACTTAAATACATGTAGGCAAAACTTGACATAAAGTAAAAATAAATAAAAATTTTAAAAATTATGGCTGGGTGTGGTGGCACACGCCTTTAATCCCAGCACTTGGGAGGCAGAGGCAGGTGGATCTCTGTGAGTTCAAGGCCAGCCTGGTGTACATAGTGAGTTCCAGGACAGCTGGGGCTACAGGGAGACCCTGTCTCAAAAAGACCCCCCCCCCAAAAATTAAATCATTTGGAGACAACAGAAAAATAAAAAATTTTTTAGGAAAAAAAAGTATTTTTTGACAGGGTGTCCTTAATCCCAGCCCATTTGGAAGTCACTATGCAGACCAGGTTGGCCTTAATCTCACAGAGCACTTGCCTTTGCCTCCCAAGGGCTAGAAAAATTTTTTAAATAAAATCACATTAGTATTTTGTTATAGCTCACTCTAACATCACAGTTAAAGAATGTACATGTCATTGTTGTGACATTTGGAAAATTAACTTTCTGAGTATGAGGTCATTCAAAGTTAAAACCATGAAACTCTACCTGAAAGAGGGATTTATTTATTTATTTATTTTGGTCTTTTTGAGACAGGGTCTCCCTGTAGTCCCAGCTGACCTGGAACTCACTATGTAGACCAGGCTGGCTTTGAACTCACAGAGATCCGTCTGCCTCTGCCTCTTGAGGACTGGGATTAAAGGCATGCGCCACCACGTCCAGTGAAAGAGGGATATTTATTTATTTATTTATTTATTTATTTATTTATTTTTGGAATTAGCCAAATTTTTATTCTGACCATGAGTAGTGACCACAGTATCCAAGGGCAGGCACAGAACCTGTAGTAACTTTCTAAGTAGGGGAGGAAGTCTTTAAAGGTAAAAA